TGTTTTTCTTAGTTTAGTTTAAACCATGTTGAGTTGTTTTATTTTTTTATTTATGTTAAATTGCTTTTAGTTTGGTTAGTATTGATTTAGTTTAATGTGTTTGTAAGTGTACATAAGAAAAGGCATTAATTGTTGAAAAAGAGTGCATGAATGGCTAATGCTTCTCTCATACATGTTTCAACATTTTGGCATAATTCACATTCTAGATGTTCAATTGATGTGATTCTTAAGTCATTGGAAAGCTAAGAGATAAGGTTACAACTTTCATGTTCACCATTTTTCCTAGTTCAGCATAGATCGATGAAAAAATCACATCACAAATTGATTTAGTGTAGCAGCGTACACAATAGAGACATCAACTATGGCGTCGTAGCATTGGGAAAGTGAGGCCATGGCTCTACATCGATATCTTGGACAATTTATTTCTGAATTTTACCAGAATTAGGTCATTTTAAAGATTATTTAAAGGTACTTTTGAAGCAATTGAAAGACACAATTAAGCTAAGGTTTCTCTGAAGAAAAGTGGCCATTGAGCACCCATGAAAGCAAAAAAGATTGTGAAAGATTGAAGATCCAACAAATCTTTACTTTTCTATTCTTTTCTTTTCTTCTTTGTTTTCTTGCATTGTTACTATTGTTAAATTTCTTTGGATTATGCTTTTATTATTCAACACTAACTAAATTTTTCTTTTTAAGATTACAATTAAACTCAACTTGTAGTTTGTATTTTTAATTTCTCTCTTGCTTATGATTAATGGAATATGAGTTGTTTATTCCAATATTGTATTTAATGCTTTTGATTGCCTAATCACCAATTAGATTGATCTGAAAACCTAAATGCAACTTAAAAAAGGGAGTTTATAGTAGACCATGGATGGAATAACATAAGTTCAAATTCACATAGTTGATTAGGTAATTTGATTTGTATATAGGGTAAGAATATACCTATATATTTTATGTAGTCAAAATTAGAGCCTGGTTCTAATATGTTTGTCTTTACTTCAATTCTCATAGGAATATGGTGAATTAGTTAAGATAAATATTTTTATAAGAACATTAGAAGAGACTTGTAAATAATTTAGGAACTCTAGATTAGCAACGCAATCCATTTAGCAATTCAAGGGAAAGAGACAAAATTCAGATGAAGTGTTGAGGGATATTGTAATCCTAGGCTTGTTTATTGATTAATTTTTCTAATTATGGTTTGCCATCAGCTTTTAGATTTAGTTTCGCTATTATTTAGTTTTAGTTTTACTTTTTGATAATCATTTTATTTTGGTTGTTTAAATAAGATTAGGTTATAATAATTTGAGTTCTTAGTAAAAGCTGGTACAATTCTTTATGGGATTCAACACTTTATTTATCATTATATTACTTGTTAACAGTACGTGCACTTGCGTGGTAAATCTGACAACAAAGTATAAGAGCTTAAGGTTCAAGTACGTAAGATGATGAACACTTGATTTTGAGAGTGATTCTTAAGGAATTTACTATTTGATCTTTCACTAATTTCTAGAAAATTCCTCTCTAGGTGTTCTTTTTCTTGAAAGTTATGCATTAGACCTCTACTTATATGTTGGTGTATGAAATTATCTGTTCGGGGAAGTGTGCTTGAAAATGTAGCCATTATTCATGCATTTTTCTGGCTTGTCTGAAGTGAGGTATTGATACCTTCGATACAAGTCTTAATACTTTATTTGCCAAAATCAACTGAGATCTTGATACCTCTGTTGCATGTCTCAATACTTGTCCATCCTTGGCATTTCCCAAATTGAACATGTCTCAATACATCTATGGCTTCGTCTCACTACATAGCAGCTTGCTCTAGAAATCAGGCTGATCTTGATACTTAGACACTTGCTTTTTGGAATTTGAAGTTCTGATGATGAGGTCTCGAATGGCTCTCAATACTTTAGCACTTGCTTTCTAAAAATTGAATCTACGAGGTGAAGTCTCGATATGTTGAAGCTTGGGTCCCGATACATTTAGACTTTCTCTGTAGAAATTAGAGCCTTGTGTGAATTCTTGATACGTTAAAGCTTAAGTCTCAATACTTTCAGACTTGCTCTTTGGAAATTGCATTTCTGAACTGATGTCTCAAATACCTTTACATGATGTCTCAATACCTTTGTTTCCTTAGGCCATTGCTAAGGCATTTCAAGCTTAATGTATCGATACTTACTTAAGAAGTCTTGATACCCTAGGAATTTTAAGTTTTTTCTTAGTTGTTTTGAGCTTAAAACACTTAGCCATTTTTCATTTAAATGCTTAAGGGGTTTTGTGAAGTCTTAATACATTTAACCACTCATATTTTGGTCATTTCATTTTGTCATTTCAAAACAAGGATCAATCTTTTCATAGACATAGTATCAACATCCATTTTTACAAATTCACCCCATTAGTCTCCCAACGGTTTGAACAAATCATGATGCCATACTTGCAAAGGAACTACCTCCAATTTCACCCAAAAAAATAATTCTAGTTGCATAGCTTTTCAATAAGCCACCAACTTACTAAGCCATGGCTGAAAACAATTTCGATAATCCTCAATCAAAACTTTCATAAGCTCTTCATTGAAAAACATGATAAGCACTTGGAAACCCCTAAGATATAGGACACTCGCCTTAATCTTTTTCTCCATCAAACCTTTAAGCAAATCCTTAATTGAGCATTTAACCTTAAAGGTACCTACAACACTACGTTTCAGCCATTCATCATTAGATTTAGGAATAAAAATTGTGTCACCTACCTTCTCTTTAGACATCTCTTGTGATTTATTTGCACCACTCTTAATCACCTAGCTCTAAGGTTTGGTGACACTACTTTTACCAACCTATTCAGATTGAACACTTTGCACAACCTCCTTGAAGGATCAAGAAGGCCATTCGTCCTTAGAGGTTCACTCATCAACTTGGATGATAATATTTTTCCCACAGAATTCACTTCCTTCACCAATACCCACCTACCAGCAATATACATTCCATTACCTTCCCAGATAGCAAAACAGAGTTCCCTTCCTTCCTTGAATCTGACAAAAGCCAAATTATAATGTCACTTTATCGACCTTCAAGGAACAAAGACATCCGCTAAAATACCAAACTAATCAAACACTGTTTTAATATCAGTCTAAAAGATCCTTTTAACAAAATAATGCACGAAGACAGAATGCAAAGATTTTCTCCATTGTGATAGCTTTGATTGATCAAGAATCCTTATGCCTTGAAACCCATACCTCTAATGAACCATAGCCGTTCTTCCTCCTCCATATCTACTTCCAAAAGAGCTCTCAACTCTTTATATCTCAATTTATTTTGTTGTAATGTTTAATTTTTTTTCGTTACAGTTAAGGACTTATTTGGCTTTAAAATAAATATTTAAGGGCTTGTTTGAATATAATAAAAGATGAAGGATTTCGTTAAATAAATCAATATAATACAAGAACTTTCTTTTCGACTGGTTAGTTTATTGCATTGTACTTTGTAACATTGTAATTATAGTTGATAAAATAAATAAATAAAAATTAAACAACAAAGTTTGTATATTGTCACAAATAAACAACCACAAGCTAAAACATACTACTTGGAGAAACCACTCTTGGTTTGTCCTTTTTTTGCAATTGAAGACAGCCACAATCTACAAAATAAACAAATTTGAACGATTAATTTTTCTGAAAATAATTAGATCAAATTATACAATTAATTTTTGTACCATATCAAAGTGGTGAATTTAATCCTTGCACGTACTTTAGAAAAATTTTATGATATTTTTATGTCAAAAATAATTTCTACATTCATAAAATTTGTTTTATCGAAAATATGGTAATATTATGAACAAATTTTTCTAATGGAACAAAATTCCATTGGAACCACCCCATTTTCTTGTGGTGCGTTTAGCATTTTTCTATTTTAAAGAAAATACAAAGAAAACTATTTCTTGATCGTATGAATAAATTCTTAAGTCTTCGAGTCATTTTGAACCATGTTTTTCAATACATAAATTTCAAAGAAGAAAAATCAAGGAAATTAAGTAGATTTGAGGTAGTGGCTGATTATCTTAATATTATATTATAGGACTTACGTAAGTATGTTTGCAACTTTTGTTCCGAAGTCAGTATTAACGGCTGTCCACGTTTCTTCACAAAATTAAGTTCAGTAAACAATCATTTTGCTGTAGAATTATTAGCCCTTTTTGTTTATAAGTTAATTCAAAGAATGCACATTCATACAAAATTATAATAACATGCAACACACGACACAAGAAAAATGATATTTAGTTTAGTGGTAATGCGTGCCAAGCGTAGGCCCAAACATGCGATCCAACTAGAGTTTTAAGCCAGATTGAACATGGAAAAGTCCAGTCAAAAAGAACTTCAAGATCATTTGGGGTTTTCACTTATATTTCTAGAGGATTTAAGGCTATATAAATGGAATAGATTTTGGAGAAGTTTGAAAAGAAATGTTAGGCCTACATCTTTCGGCTGATCTGTGGAACTGTTAATGGTTCACCTCACCATCTCCCGTAGGCTTTCATGCCCATAATTTTCTTCTTCTCCTTCTTGAGCCCAATTTGCCCTTTCGTTTTTGAAGAAAATTGGGCCAGATAGAAGGTTGTGATTGAGGAACCCAAGCATACATTCTTTTTGTTACAGTAAATAAAAGAAAAACCAAGAGTGATTGTGTAAACCCAACCCAATCTTTAGCCATTATTGTGGTCTGGTAAGGTCTAAAAATCAATTATTTCTTCCTATGAGATTTTTTTTAAAAAAGAAAAAACACAAACATTTTTGTTGTACTTTCCAAGGTCACTCAAATTTATTTTTGGATTTTACAATAAATAAATTTTAAAATATTTTAAATATTACAAAAGTTTTTATTATTCTAGTTTAAAAGAAATAATATATCTCTAAATTATATATGTTAAGCAAAAAAAGCGTTAGAGATTTAGCAAATATTAAGATTGAGGGAGTGTGTCACTACATGCAAGTGACACCGAAATAAAGATCAATAATTATAGTATTTTTTTCTCTTTGAATAATGATAAATTAAGATCAATTATTGCACATAAATTAAATTGCCTAATTGGTACAATATCTTTTGTATAAAGGGATACACAACCCATTCTTGTCCAATTCTGATTCTAATTTTTGTAGCTGCTGTTCTAAGCCAACAATCTTTGCCGCGCGTATACATTTTTCCTTCAGTGAACCGAATTTTCATCTCCTACTGTTTTTTCAGCTAATACCTGGCTCTCTGTTGTTTTCCCTTGGTCTTGGCTAGGTAATTCCTCCCCTTTTGCTTCTTTCTCAGCTTTCAGCCTGGCCTCTTCTTTTGCAGATTCCAGAGCCTGAATCAGGCTTTCCAGGCAAGTTTCAGGATCCGTTGAGACGGTTTTTGGCATCAAATGCTCTGCAACTTCAGCTGGAGTCATTCTAGCTTCTTCCAACAGTTCCTGAATCCTGCGAAACAGATTGTGAGACTCAAGCTTTTGATAGTTATTGGCCAACACCTTGAATGCTTCAAATCCACAATATGACAATTCTATATGCTTATCCATCCGCCCTTTTCGAATTAGAGCTGGATCAAGTTTTTCCACAAAATTTGTTGTGAAAACAATTAATCTTTCACCCCCACAAGCTGACCATAGCCCATCAATGAAATTCAGCAAACCTGAAAGAGTAACCTGGCTGCTTTTCGGTTCTTGATCTTTTGTTAGCTTTTGCCTTGGATCCTTCATGTCTTCTGGTTCCTCTTTCTCATTTTTCTTCCCCCTTTGACCAGTCAAGTCAAGTGAACAATCAATATCTTCAATAACAATTATTGATTTGCTTGATGTTTCAATCAACAGCTTCCTCAGCTCGGTATTGTCCTTCACGGCAGTTAATTCAAGATCATAAATGTCATAGCCTAAAAGATTGGCCATGGCAGCAATCATTGTGGACTTACCAGTCCCTGGAGGACCATAAAGAAGATAACCTCTCTTCCAAGCCCTCCCAATTCTTGAATAAAACTCTTCTGCCTTGCTGAAAGTAGTCAGGTCCTCCATAATTTCCTCCTTCTTCTCTGGCTCCATAGCTAATGTCTGAAATGTTGCTGGGTGCTCAAAGACGACATGGCTCCACATCGATCCGTTATTGGTATATAGCTTTCTTTGCCTGTTCCTTACCTTAATCGCTCTACCTTCTTTCAGCACATGGTTCAGGTAAGGTCCAATCATGAGATCCCGGTGTCTTTTGTGGAAAGTAAGCTTGTAGAACCTTTTTTCATCTGTAACAGGATAGAAAGAAAATGATTGTGTCTTGGCAATATGTTTACCAGAAGCCCACCAAAGTTTTACACCTCTAAATTCATCTGCTACCTCTTCATGATCATCCATACTGAGAACAAGAGACTGGTTGTTCTTTACTATATCAGCTTTGAGCCTCTTTGCTTGCGAAGAAGAAGTGGAACTGAGATAGTTTTCTATAGCAGAATAAGCTTCACTCCTCATCAGACGCTCACCTGTGAATTCATTGAATGTAATCTGAATATAAGGATAAACAAAACTTACCAACCTTTGGGAGTACTTCTCGATATAGCTTCGAAATTGGTAAGGGAAGTATTGCTGAAAAACTGCCCAAATAAACATTAAACTGGCAACTACAGATCCTAGATGAGCAATCATGTTTCTGAGGGACATGTTCTGTTGTTTTACATTTTTTTCTCTAGTTTCTCCCTTCTTTTTATACAGAGAAGATGGGTGGTTCGTGTTTACAGAAATGGGTTATCCCATGTGAAATCATCTAACAATCTGGAATAGAATTGACTTATAGCTTTTGTCGGAGTCCCAAAAGTCGGCCAAAGCTGTATTTGACCAAACCTTCTGAGCTAAGAAAACCATGTTACATACAGTGATGACATGATCCTTTGAGTTCCAATTTACATAAATTTGCAACTACAGATCCGTTATTAGTCTTGTTCGACCATGTCCATATTTTTATTAGTTTTTTTGTCCTTAAATTGTTGCTGCAAGTTTTTGAGCTAATTAAAGTTGCAAGGTAAAATTTAAAAATTCCGCTCCGATTACTTTAAGAGGGCACTTTCAAAAGCGGAGGGTTCTGCCGCTATAAGGGGGGCATGATCCCTCAAAATTTTTAAAATATTTTATATATTATATATTTAAAATATTAATTAATACTATTTTTTTTAAAAAAATAACATTAATTCATATCATAATAGATATAATAGACAAGAAAAATATGTAAAGAGATAAGGAAAATAATTAATCTTCAAAAAATTTAAAATTTTATATATATTATATATTTAAAATATTAATTCATATCATTATTATGAAAATATGAATTGTGCAAGAGATTAGCAAAATAGGAAAGTCAAGAAATTACTATTAATTGATAGATTATTTATCATGTTTTGACTCTTTCAGTTTCTACAACAACTACAGAGTCAGTCATTTCAACAATAAAAATTGTGAAAATAAGATTTCGGACCAAACTAGATGATGAATTTCTTATAGATAATTTAGTTGTCTATATTAAAAAAGACATTATTAACTTTTTCAGTACAAAGTCAATAATTGACAAATTTGAATTTGAAAAATATTATCAAGCATAATTTTCCTAAAAGACTATGGTAAGTATTTCTTTTCCTATTGCTTTTAATTTACATATTGTATAAAATTATTATCTATTATAATTCTTTTTATTATTGGTTAAGTTCAAAATATTAGTTTTAAAAATTTTTAACTCTTATTTCCTTTTGTCTTTGGCCCCCTTATTAAAAATTAGTTAGCTGTGCTCCTTAACACTTTGATCTCTCTTTTTTTAAAATGATACTTTTGGTCTTTTCACTACTAACATTGTTAATCCGCAGTTAAAAAAATACAATCCAATATTACATAAATATTTTGGACACAAATACTTTCTTTTATAAAAAAAAATATTTACTCTTTACTCTTCCAAAAACCTTAATAAAATAAAAAACTAAAGGAATTTGGATATGCTTTCTTTAAATTTTCATCTTTTGCATTTCAATCCACCTGAAGAATTTTGTAATAATCGACACTCATTCTTTGAATTCCTTTTTTCTTCTTGTAACTTGAAGAATTTTTCTCTTACCTCTTTGGATTTTTTTCTTTTTCTCACAACTTTATTGTTTTTTTTTTTTAAAGATAAGATCATTATGTTCATCTAGGGAGAGGCTACAAAGTGCTGTTTCAAGTTTTCACCAATTTAGTTTGAAGACTTTGTACAACAAGCTGCAATTCTTTACAAAAACTATAGAAACTTGAACCGATGTGAGTGTTGGGTTGCCCTGCAAAAAAGATACTTAGGCTCAATGTGATTTATAGAATGATTATCACACCCTTATTATTTGTGTCAATACAAAAACTCAATTCACCTATAGACAAATCAAACATGCTGCCTAAATACTAAAGAAAAAGATAAAACCCATTGGTGTTTTGATTTGACAAATCACAACTTTAATTTTTTAATTGAAGAAATTTGGATTTGAAAGGAATAAAAAAGAAATACAAAAAATTGTTGATATTTCTTGTCTACTGCCATTTGAGGAGGAAAAGATTCATTAACATCGATCTCATGGAAGCTACATATGTCAAGGTCTTTCATTTCTTTTCTTGTTTTATCTTAATTTTTTTAGCTTTTTTTTTTGTTCAAAATCTTATTTTTAACAATTAATTATTTTTTCTAATTAAGGTTTTTGGGAGAGTATGAGGAAATTTTTTTGTTCAAAAAGAATATGTCTAAATTGAAAAAAATGATATGAAGGTCATTTATGTCTTAAAATATTTATGTGATATTGAGTCCTAATTTTTTTTAACTGTTGGACTAATAATATTAACAGTCAAAAACTCAAAAGTATCATGTTAAAACAAGAAGGACCAAAGTGTCTTTTAGAATGATTAGAGAGGTACTTGGATTACACCCTAAAGTTGCATGTCAAACTAATGTACTCTATGGAACAGGCACTTTGCCCAAGCCTACAAGCCTAGCCCATATCAGCCCAAGTGCAGATATTGATTTTCAATCCCAAGCCAATATGGCATTTTGGAACACTAGAATGACTAAATTGATTGGTCTTTTTTGTGGAAATACAAGGATGAAAGTATTTTAGCTAAAGTTTTTAAAACTTTTCAAGTTTTATCATCATTTTCAATGAAAAATTCACTATAAAAATGAATAACAACCAAAATTGACATCACAGTTTAACAGGGATAGAATGATGCAATAGACAGAAGAAAATGAGTATTATTTTATGTTAGATTTAATGAATGGCTTACAGCCAATCAATTGGGTATAGAAATATTTTTTGCTATATTTTACATTACATTTAATCAGCTTTTTTATCTATGAGTTCATATATAATTGTTATTATTAAAATATGTAGTAAAGGGTTAAGGAATTAATATGTTTGCAAAAGAAATTATAAAGTGTTATAATTATGAGTTCCTTATTGCATCATTAAAGCATTAATTCTACATGTTCTTGCTAGTTGATACTTTATCAAAATAAGATATTAATAAGGTCAAGAGAGCAACACATGTTATATTTCTTATTTATGAAGTGAACAATTAATCATATAAGTTGAAGTATGAGGATACTTGAACAAATATATGGATGATTGTTAAATGAACAAGTTCACTAAACCTAACCTATTATAAAAATTTCATTGGATATCTTACTTAAGTATCTAAGAAAACATATTTTCATTTGACAGTTTTGTAAGTGAACCTTATACATAAGATTATTGAATTATTGTATATGTGAAGTGTCTCATAGCATGTACAATGTGATGGATATTGGATATAGCATGACGTATATGGAGATAGATGAGTGCTCAATACAAGATTCATCACACTAAGTGATATTAGAAGGAATATCCCATTACTTCTTGACATGCATTAACTCAAAGCATCCTTGGCCAAGATAGTATGAAGATTTGGAAAGAAGTATTCTAATTACATTCAAAGAGTTAATGACTAGTTTCAAGAATTGACATGATTCTAATCAAGATACGACCTATGAAATCCTACATTGAGTAAGAAGACAAGTTAGGAAATCCTTAGGTGACCATCTAGATTACAGACTTTGACTATGAAAATTAGTTTTACTCTTCAAAAGAATTCATTGACACTTTGGTTGTCTGTCACTTTTAAAGCAGAAAATTTTTTAAGCTTGAGAAGGGTCAAAATATGTGATTCTTATAGAACAATCTTTTAGAAATAAAATAACATGGCAATGATTCCCTTGATTTTTAAATGACCAAAAATGATTTTCTTTATAATTTTTGGTGTACATTTGCTATGGTAAATGGGAGCCATAAATTTAATTTCAGTTGAACTTTTTTTATTTTGTTCTTGAAATCAAAATTTAGATTTTGATTGTTTTGAATTTTGATTTTTTGGATATTTTTATTGAATCCAAATAGGGGTTATTTGCTTATTTACATTAAATATTTTAAGTAAATGGAGAGTAAAAAGTAAAGAGGGTATTTACTTAGATGGTATTTAATGTAAATAAGATAGACAGGTTTTATAGGTAATCTATCTTAAAAACTGCATTTTGTCTTAAATGTATCGATACATATACGTGATGTATCGATATATTTAGCCCATAATATGTTTCTAATGAACATGTAGCAATACATGTTCACAATGTATTGATACATTTCGTCAATTTCAAAAAAATAAAAAAGATAAAAACATATTTTCATACCTTAACTTATGAATATATCACAGTTTTTGAGGGTTGGTAACCCTCAAGCGCATTTTGAAGATAAAACTCCAACTCTTAAACTTTTCCAATTCATTTTTGCTCAAAATCACCATTTTTGAAAAAATTGAGCTTGGTTTTGGGTTTTAAATGAAGATTGAGATTTTTCTCACTTTTGAATCCTTTAACCTTGGATTTTTTATTCTAAAAATATGGTTTATTATTCTAGAATTATTGATGTATACAAGCTAGAGGATTTAGGTGAATTTTCTCACTTGTTATAGCTCACTTAAGGTAAGAATATTGATTTTATGGATTTGTACAAATTGGTATTTTGATGAGCAATAGATTTAGTTTAGAAAATTAGTTTAGGAAAACCTAAATAGTTCGAAATAGTATAGAATGATTATTATACGATTTCTAGACTAAGTATTAATGCAAAATATTTATTTGGGTATTTAGGAACTGTTGAAACTTCAAAAATTTTGTTGGAGTAGACTTTTGCATACTTGGTAGAAATCAACTTTCGAGGTGAGTGGGTACACCACTTTCAAAACTATTTGAGTATGTCAACTTGAAAACATGATTGCAAGATTTGACGGATTTGTTATGAGCATTGTAACCAAAAATATTTGACTAAGGAAAAATATGTTTATGGATGAGAAAACATTTTGAAATGGTTTTCAAAACTATTATGTATAATTAAATATTCTAGTATGTAGTAATTTTCAACAAGAGGGGACAAGCCCTTTCAATGTTTTGAACAATTTCATCAATTACTTCAGCTTTTTAGCTAGTATGGGTACAAGATGTTAGTTGAGATAATGATTGTGGTTAATTGAATTGCTCATGCATATGAGTATTGCGAATGTTGATTGAAAAGGTATCCACATTTCCATGATGGGTGTTGTGATGTGGATTAACAAAGTCTCCACATTCCTTTGATTTTATTATCAAGTGGATTGACTATGTCTCCACTTCCCATGATTTATGATAATGTGGATTGAGTAAGTCTCCACTTCCCATGGCTTTTTTGTGACTGGCTTTAGTTCTAGTGTGGGGGTAAGAACACCATAGGGTTAAGTTAGGCACCATGCCACTTTTTCCCTCCTTATGAATCTTGATGTAAGGGTGAGAATACCACATGGATGAGTTGGGCGAAAATCCCCATTCTCCTCATAATTTACTATGCCATGTATTGATGTGTTATTTATATATTGGGTATTATGATGCTTGTGTTTGTTGATTGGTAATTATTGTGTTTATATGAAAATAATTAGGCGTGTTGTTAAGTGAATTATATATTTTTGATTTGAATGTTTGTTGTTGAGCTTGAAGGGTCGAGGTTTACCTTCATTATCTCCTTGCAAATGTTTATCAATTTAGCTTGTATTTGAACATTATTTTTATGCATTTAACGCTACCCAATGCATTCATGATGAAATACTATAGAAGGTGTCACATTTCTATGGATAGATGTATGTTAAGAGAGCTTTGAGAAGCTCAAGACTTTACTTACCATCGCTCTTATGTTGAATTTACCTTGTGGTTCAGGTGGTTGCACAGTTTATTTCAACGAATCACGAGTAGAAGTTGTGTGTGTTTTGATGCAACATGGTAATGTGATTATGTACACATCTCAACAACTCAAAAATCATGAGTAGAATTACCCCATAGGTGATTTAGAGATGGCTGCTATAGTCTTTGCCCTAAAGATTTGAGGCACTATCTATATAGTGAGACTTGTGAGATTTATATGAATCATAAAAGTCTTAAGTACAATTTTTGAGCAAAAAGATCTCAACGTTAGGCAACATTAATGGATGGAGTTTCATAACGATGTATGATTGCACTTATTGTATCATCCTAGCAAAGCTAATGTGGTGGCTGATGCCTTGAGCCAAAAATCTATGGAGAGTTTAGCTCACATCATAGTTGAAAGGAGATCATTGGTGCAAGTATGCAAGAGTTGGGTGATCTAGGCACTTGATTGAGGTTGATGATACAGAGCATTGTTAGCCCATTTTAGAGTAGTGAGATCAATGTTGATGGATCACATTAAGGAAGCCTCAGACAAGATGATTTTGTGGTAAGGTCTTGGAGGAACCTTAAGGGAGGAAAGGATGATTGTTGACTAACAGCACTGATGGATACCTAGATTATGGAACTAGAGTGTATGTCTTAGATATTGATGATTTGAGAGTGGGAGATTCTAGAAGAGGCCCACATGCAGCATATGTTGTTCATCAAGCGCCCACTAAATGTTAACCATGACTTGAAGAGGTGTATTGGTGGAAAGGCCTTAAGAGAGATATAACCGAGTTTGTGACTAAGTGTCTGGTATGCCAACAGGTTAAGGTAGAGCATCAGGCCTAATAGATTATTACAACCTTTACTTGTTCCTGAGTGAAAGTGGAGCACATGTATATGGATTTTGTGACAGACTACCCGAACAAGTGAGGGGTGTTGACTCTATTTGGGTGATTGTAGATAGTTTACTAAGTTTACACATTTTCTTCTAGTAAAGACCAGTTATGTGGTAGTACAATCTGCTAGGCTAACATGTGATATAGTGCGATTGCATGGAGTCCCAGTCACCATAGTGTGATTTTGGGCATGCAATTTTCTAGTGGGTTGTGGGAAAATTCAAGAAGCTTTGGACAAAGTTAAATTTCAAACTATTTTCACCCCACAGATAGATGGATAGTTTGTGAGGGGACTATTTAGACATTAAAAGATATGTGAGAGATTGTGTTCATAGACTTCGGGTTACTTGGGACCACACACTTGCCATTGGTTAAGTTTGCGTACAATTAGTAGTTTTCAGTCTACTAATTTAAATGGCATCCTATGAAGCTTTCTACGAGCAGAGATGTAAATCGCCCATATGTTAGTTTAAGGTTGGTGAAAGGAATTTACTGGGCCAAAATAGTTCATGAGACCACCAATAAGAATATAGTTGTTTAGAGAAAGGATGTTAACAGCACAGAGTCATCAGAATCATATGCTAACCATAGACGTCGAGAATTGGATTTGAGGTGCATGACCTGTCGTTCTTGCAAAGTCTTATCCAACGAAAGGCATTATGAGGTTCGGCAAAAAGTGCAAATTGAGCCCTAGGTGCATTGGATCATTCTGAGACTTGGAAAGGGTTGTGCACGATAGCATAGATTAACACTTCTGTGGATCTTCTCTAGTGTCATCCATGTTTTTGTGTTTCGATATTTACGGAAGTACAACTGATCCATTGATGTCATTCGGCCATGAGTCTCTACCAGTTGGAAATGATTTGAGTTCGAGGAGGTTATGGTAATATATTAGATAGCAAGTGAAGAAGCTACACACTAAAGAGTTAGTATTGGTTAAGTTGCAATGGTCCATGACTCAAGTGAGGAGTTGACTTGGGAGGCCGAAGATGAATGTAAGCAAAGTACCCAATCTATTTAACAGGTTAGTATGTTATTAAGTTCGAGGACGATTTCATAAGGGGGGAGAATGGGGATATAGTGTTTTGGTTAAAATAGATATTTTTATAAGATGAGTTGGAAGACCTTAATAAATAATTTAGGACTCGAGGTTAGCAACTTAAACCATTGAAATAAGTTAAGGAAGAGAGGTAAGATTTAGATGAAGTGTGAGGGATATTGTAATCCTAGGCTTGTTTGGTTTGATGCTTACTCAAGTTATTATTATTTTGATTTTTCATGTTAGTTTAAATTTTAGTTAATTAGTTGTAGTTAATCAATTAATTTTGAGTGTTTGGATAAGATTAATTTGTTCTAATTTTAGTACTTAGTAAAATTTTAGATCAATTCTCTGTGAGGTCGATACTTTGCTTACAAATATACTATCTATTCGATATGTATACTTGTGTAGTGAAATTTTAACTGACACTAGTATACATTTTAGGGATAACAGTGGCAGAGTATGATGTTAAATTTACACAGTTGGCTCGATATGTACCATATCTTATCTCTACGAAAGAGATGAAGATTAGGAGATTTGTTGATGGGTTAGTGGAGCCCTTGTTTAAGGGAGTAAGTTCTCGAGAGTTTGATTTTTATGCCTCAGTTGTGGATTGTGCTCAAAAGATAGAGATGAGGATTGTTAAGACTAAAATAGCTAAAGATAGGTCGAAGAGGGCCAAGATTGAGAGTCATAGGGATTTTAGGGGTAATAGGGGATCTTCTTCCACAAGACAACCTAGAGATACTTAGTCTTCTCATCAAGGGAATAGTTTTGGCAAGTGATGGTAAACATGACAAAGGGGATGGTAAGCCCCCTAGACAGCAAAGTTCAAGGCAGGATCATCAGTCCCCTCTATTGTGTTCTACTAGTAATAAGAGGCATCAAGGTCAATGCCAAAAAGGTACCCCATCTTATTATGGTTGTGGTTTGCTTGGACATGTGATAAGGAATTGTCATGAGGGTCAATAGTCAAAAAGACTTGCTCAGCCAATTATAGCGCCTGCTCCTATTACCACACAGATGATCAGAGAGGCTAGAGGAGCTGGGGGTAGGGGTGTTGGTAACAGCACTCAAGGTAGAGCATCTAGACATGGTGTTCATGGTACAACTAGTTGAGGATAAGCTAGAGTTTATGCATTGATCCCATAAGATGCATAAGCATCCAATGTTGTTGTTTCAAGTATTCTACCTATGTGTTCTATTGATGCATGTGTGTTGTATGATCTTGGTGCTACACATTCATTTGTTTCTCCATATTTGCATCTAAGTTAGGTATAGGGCACTCTAAAAGGGAGCAAGATGCAGTAGTTTCCACACCTTTAAGAGAGGTGTTTATGGCAAGGTATGAGAATAGAGCTTATGTGGTTCGAGTTAATGAGAAAGAGATTCAAGCAAATTTAGAATTGATGGATATGCTAGAGTTTTATGTGATTCTTGGGATGGATTGGTTATCCCCCAACTATGCTAGTATGGAATGCCACCACAAGAGGGTAAAGTTTAAGTACCTTGGAAAGATATCGGTCTATATTTAGGGAGATCACAACATGGCTTCAAGTAGTGTGGTGTCAACCATGACTGCCAATAGTTTCATGAGACACAGCTGCTAGGGATTTTTGGTAACAGTCTTCGATACTTAGGTGGATGTGGGTAATATAGTAGATGTGCCAGTTATGGAAGAATATGTTGTTGTGTTCTTGGAGGAGTAACCTGGATTACCTTTAGAAAGAGAAAGAATTTTGTATAGATTTGGTGCAGGACACCAATTTGATATTTATACCACCCTACCATATGGCACTACTAAAGCTTAAGGAGCTTAAGGACTAATTAGAGGACTTGTTGGACAAGGGTTTCATATGCCTTAGCGCCTCACCATGGGGTGCATCAGTATTGTTTATGAAGAAAAAAATAGATCACTGAGACTTTGTATCAACTATAGGCAGTTGAACAAAGTGCCCATCAAGAAAAAGTACCGTTTCACACATATTGATGACTTGTTTGATCAGTTGAAAGGGGTTAAGTGTTTTTCTAAGATTGATTTGCAATCGGGGTACCACCAATTGATGATTAGAGACGGCAATATACCCAAAAATGCTATTTCCAGAAGGTATGGTCATTATGAGTTTTTGGTTACATCATTTGGCTTAGCTAATGCCCTTACAGCTTTTATGGACATGATCAACAAAGTATTCAAACCATATTTGGATAAATTTGTAGTTGTATTCATTGATGATATCTTGATATTCTCAAGGAGTTGAGATGAACTTGAGCAACACTTAAGGATTGTCCTACATACTTTGAGGGAACATCAATTATATACCAAGTTTTTGGAGTGTGAAGTTTGGCTTGATAGTGTTAGCTTCTTGGGTCACATAATATTTAAAGATGGCATGATAGTAGACCCAAAAAAGATTGAGGCATTAGAGAAATGGCCAAGGCCTACTTCAGTTACTAAAATACAAAATTTCTTGGGATTGGCTAGATACTATAGGAGATTTGTTAAGGATTTCTCCAAGATTGCTAATCCTATGACTAAATTGACATAGAAGGGTGTCACATTTCTATGGATAGATGTATGTTAAGAGAGCTTTGAGAAGCTCAAGACTTTACTTACCATCGCTCTTATGTTGAATTTACCTTGTGGTTCAGGTGGTTGCACAGTTTATTTCAACGAATCACGAGTAGAAGTTGTGTGTGTTTTGATGCAACATGGTAATGTGATTATGTACACATCTCAACAACTCAAAAATCATGAGTAGAATTACCCCATAGGTGATTTAGAGATGGCTGCTATAGTCTTTGCCCTAAAGATTTGGAGGCACTATCTATATAGTGAGACTTGTGAGATTTATATGAATCATAAAAGTCTTAAGTACAATTTTTGAGCAAAAGGATCTCAACGTTAGGCAACATTAATGGATGGAGTTTCATAACGATTATGATTGCACTATATTGTATCATCCTAGCAAAGCTAATGTGGTGGCTGATGCCTTGAGCCAAAAATCTATGGAGAGTTTAGCTCACATCATAGTTGAAAGGAGATCATTGGTGCAAGGTATGCAAGAGTTGGGTGATCTAGGCACTTGATTTGAGGTTGATGATACAGAGGCATTGTTAGCCCATTTTAGAGTGAGATCAATGTTGATGGATCACATTAAGGAAGCCTCAGACAAGGATGATTTTGTGGCTAAGGTCTTGGAGGAACCTTAAGGGAGGAAAGGATGATTGTTGACTAACAGCACTGATGGATTACCTAGTTATGGAACTAGAGTGTATGTCTTAGATATTGATGATTTGAGATGGGAGATTCTAGAAGAGGCCCACATGGCAGCATATGTTGTTCATCCAAGCGCCACTAAAATGTACCATGACTTGAAAGAGGTGTATTGGTGGAAAGGCCTTAAGAGAGATATAACCGAGTATGTGACTAAGTGTCTGGTATGCCAACAGGTTAAGGTAGAGCATCAAGGGCCTAATAGATTATTACAACCTTTACTTGTTCCTGAGTGAAAGTGGAGCACATGTATATGGATTTTGTGACTAGACTACCCCGAACAAGTGAGGGGTGTGACTCTATTTGGGTGATTGTAGATAGGTTTACTAAGTTTACACATTTTCTTCTAGTAAAGACCAGTTATGTGGTAGTACAATCTGCTAGGCTATACATTGATGATATAGTGCGATTGCATGGAGTCCCAGTCACCATAGTGTGATATTTGGGCATGCAATTTTCTAGTGGGTTTTGGGGAAAAATTCAAGAAGCTTTGGGAACAAAGTTAAATTTCAAAACTATTTTCCACCCACAGATAGATGGATAGTTTGTGAGGACTATTTAGACATTAAAAGATATGTTGAGAGATTGTGTCATAGACTTCGGAGTTACTTGGGACCAACACTTGCCATTGGTTAAGTTTGCGTACAATAGTAGTTTTCAGTCTACTATTTAAATGGCATCCTATGAAGCTTTCTACGAGCAGAGATGTAAATCGCCCATATGTTAGTTTGAGGTTGGTGAAAGGAATTTACTCGGGCCAAAAATAGTTCATGAGACCACCAATAAGATATAGTTGTTTAGAGAAAGGATGTTAACGGCACAGAGTCATCAGAAGTCATATGCTAACCATAGACGTCGAGAATTGGAATTTGAGGTTGATGACCATGTGTTCTTGAAAGTCTATCCAACGAAAGGCATTATGAGGTTCGGCAAAAAGTGCAAATTGAGCCTAAGGTGCATTGGATCATTTGAGACTTTGGAAAGGGTTGGCACGATAGCATATCGATTAACACTTCTGTCGGATCTTGCTAGTGTTCATCCCATGTTTTGTGTTTCGATATTACGGAAGTACCAACTAGATCCATTGCATGTCATTCGGCATGAGTCTCTACAGTTGGAAAATGATTTGAGTTACGAGGAGGTATTGGTAACTATATTAGATAAGCAAGTGAAGAAGCTACACACTAAAGAGGTAGTATTGGTTAAGTTGCAATGGTCCAATGACTCAAGTGAGGAGTTGACTTGGGAGGCCGAAGATGACATGTAAGCAAAGTACCCAAATCTATTTAACGAAGGTTAGTATGTTATTAAAGTTCGAGGACGAATTTTCATAAGGGGGGAGAATGTGAAATCCCACATTGAGTAAGAGGATAAGTTAGGAAATCTTTTGATGAGCACATAGAACACATATTTTGGCTATGAAAATTAGTTTTACCTTTGAAAAAAATTCATTGACACTTTTGGTTATCTATCATTTTTGAAGTAGAAAATTTTCTAAATTGGGAAGGGTTAAAATATGTGACATTTTCAGAACAATCTTCTAGAAATGAAAAATGATGGTAATTATTCCTTTGATTTTTAGATGATCAAAAATGATTTTTACATAATTTTTGGTGTACATTTGCTATGCTAAATAGGAGTTGCAAATGTAATTTTTGTTGAAATTTTTTTATTTTGTTCTTAAAACCAAAATTTAGATTTTTTTTTGATATTTCTATTGCATCCAAATTGGGGGGTTATTTGCTTATTTACATTAAATATCTTAAGCAAATGGAGAGTAAAAAGTAAAAAAGATATTTACTTAGATTGTATTTAATGTAAATAAGCAAAGGCAGGTTTTATAGGCAATTTGTCTCAAAAACTACATTCTGTCTCAAATGTATCGATACATTTAGTCCAGAAAAAGTTTTTGATGAGCATGTATCGATACATGTTCATAATATATCAGCACATTTTTTCTAGAACCAAATGTATTGATATATCGGCCAATGTATCTATACATTTCGTCAATTTCAAAAAAATAAATGAGGTAAAAATGTATTTTCACACCCTAACTTATAAACGTATCATATTTTTTGAGGCCGGGCAACCCTCTAGCGCATTTTGAACGTAAAACCCTAACTCTTAAGCTTTTTCAAAACCCTTTTGCTCAAAATCACTATTTTTGAAAGATTTGAGCTTGGTTTTGGGTTTTAAATGAAAAATGAGATATTTCTCACTATTGAATCTTTTAACCCTCGATTTTTTATTCTGAAAATATAGTTTATTATTCCAGAATTATTGATGTATGTAAACTAGAGGATTGGGGTTGATTTTCTCACTAGCTATAGCTCACTTAAGGAAAGAATATTGATTTTATGGATTTATACAAATGAGTATTATGATGAATAGTAGATTTAGTCTAAAAAATTAGTTTAGCCAAACCCAAATAGCTCAAAGTAGCATAAAATGATTATTATGTGTTTCCTAGACTAAGTA